CTGGAAAAGACATTATCATACTAAAATTCTTGAAGAGTTTTCACAGCTGAGTGAGAGCTCAGGCATAGAGGATAGCCCTGGGTCACTGTCTCATAATTAGTGATGTCGCTATTCTTTAAATCATTGTCAGCTTATAGCCCGAGGAATTCAGATAGTGAAGATCTTGAAATAAGTTGCAGTATTAAACTTCCTGTTGTATTCTGCTAACTTCTGGAAGGACTAGCTTTGGACCCACGAGCAGATTTCTGCAATATGGTGTGTTTATATAAAATAGCTAGGAAGCAATATGAACATGATCACAGGTAGAAGACTCCGACTGCATGCAAAACAGAAAACACAAAAGTAGTCCAACCGGGCACGAGTAGATGACAGGTGATTAAAGTCTTAACCAAGTAGATGGGCTCTTACGGTGAGGGATAAACATTTACATATGTGCATCCTTATAGTTGTTAGACAAAAAATACAAGCACATAGTTTCATTCATTTATCACTCTTCTCTAGCGATCTTTCCCCTGCCTTCTTGCCGTTTCTCTTCCTGCTTGAGTTCGCTCCTGTGGTATTCTCTTTCTCTCCTTCCATGGCAAGTAAGAGTCGATAGAATGGAGGAGGAGTTTTCTGCATTAGTGGGAGACCCCAGGATCTGTCAAATGCTTACCAAATCTCGACTATTCATGAATAGCGGTTATTTCCTCCACATGGCACGGTTTGGACTAGTGACCATATACAAAGGAATTACTTATGTGAAAATCAGGTTGAGTTGGAAATTCCAGCAGGAAAAGCTGTAGGTATTTTAGGGGATGGTCTTCCAACTTGCTGATGTCAGAACATGATTTTGTCTGTGTCTAGGGAGGCAAAGAGTACATCAGACATTAGTGTTGAGAGCCTAGTGCAGAATAAGTAGAATAATCAGTGTGGTATGAGCTGAGACTCCACAGAGAAGCCCACACAAGCCCTGGTGCAGCAACTTTCCAAGCGATTGCTTCCTGTAGAAGATTTGCTAGTATGCCACTGGCCCAGATTCAGTTCTGAGACAAGGGACTTAGTAAAAAACAGAAGATTGTCGGCATTTTCACCACCCACCACACTGACACTTAGTGTTAAAATTTGAAGAGATTGAATTTCTCTTCATAATTCTGTTAGGATGGGAGAGTTAGTAAAACTATAAAAAAAGATGAATACTTATAGAGAATACCAGTGTGCCTGTGATTTAGAGTATATATGGAGTATATATGGAGAATTCAACTTCTGAAAAGTGATGAGTTAAGGCTTGGAGGAGAATATTAACTTTGGAAGAGTTCTAGTATGGAAGTGGAGAGACGTCCAGCTGAGACAACTGACCTTGAAAGCAATCCACAGTGCCTTGTCATACCCAAATGTTTATTGAGAAAGTCACCACTCTGAACAGGTGCAGGATGTTTGTCCCGTTTTCACATTACTGTTGTACAGGACATGGTGGTAAATCAAATGCAGTGATACTATGATCTGACAGGGTGGGGCCAAGTTTTCTTTCACAGCAGCTTTGCGTAGACAGCAGTCAGGAATGTCATGGCAGTCAATAGGCATAAGAATGAAGATTTCCCAGAGCATTGACTAGAGACCAAGCTTGCTAGAATGTTAACAAGGCTCACAAAAATGGTAAGACTGAGAAAATTATTGTCAAAACCTAAAATGGAAAATATGGAGAAGTCAGGGAGATGAGACCAAATAGCAAGAGAAGGGCTGTGTAATGAAGGGAACACGTTTGGTTCACGGTAGCACTGACGAGGTCTTAGGAAATAGATGTTCATTGATTAGATTTTAAAAGTTCAATTTGGTGCTGAGTTATATGGATTAAAGCTAGAGTTAGGAATATCAGCAATATTATTTCATTGGTTCAGAAAAGAATCGTAGCATTATATGTATGCCTTAGAGAGAAAAGGACCAGCCATTAGGTATGAGGCCACCTTTCTATGATATAATGATTGTTGTGTTAGGATAATGGGGTGTTTTCTATAATGCTGTGATGATTCTGGGGGAGGGCATGGTTGTGGAGGACCAGCATCTGGCCATGTCCACGTCTCAGATAACAGAGCAGACACTTCAGCTTTGATGTAGACACTCTCATATCTCTTTGGCACATTAGAAAAAGTGAATGTGTAAAGCCCCAGGTAACTCAAGGCAGCTCTCTAATAGCATCGTTGTTTAAGAAATGTAAGGCCTCAACGATACGTGATATGGTGGTTAAATTCATCTACCTCATGATAATAGCAAATTGCATGCATCTTCTCTCATTAGAGTTCTGATACTGCATCCAAAAGTTGAGGACAGCCTTTTGAGAAGAGTGTCCTGAGGATGAGTTTGGAGGAAGCATGTGGCCAAGGGCTTGAGCCCAGTCAGCACTAGAAGATCTTCCATCAATGTAGGAGAAAGAAGGAAATGGTTGAGAACACAGAGTAGTTACAAATGGGGAAAGATGAAAGAGAATGCACTATATACTTCAGTGAAAAAGTTTCCCATTGCTGGTGTTGCCAAAGGGCTTAGAGGGGGAAAGGAAGGGCCCATTCCAAGTTACTGACTGAGAATTTGAAGAGCGACCCTCCTTCTTTCTCATGGCATTATTCATTTATGTCTTTGCCTTTTTTTTTTGAAAAAGAATAAAAATAATATGGACTCAGGAATGTGAATTCTTTTTTTTTAAATTAATGATGAATCCCTTGTGTCTGAAAAGTTTATAAAATTATGGTGCTATACTTACATGTTTGTGTAAGTTAGAATAATATTATAGTGCATTTGGAAATTACTAATGAATATATTGTAAATATAGTAACATTACAACTAAAATATAAGTAAAATTATATGTAGATCAATATAGTAAATATTATTAGACATCAGCGTTTTAGAATTTCCTCAATAATTAACTCTTAAAATATATGACAAAATTCTGAATTGTTATTAGGAAAGTATCCCATAGTTCAATGAACCTACATTCTTAATATGCTGATAATTTGGTAAATAATTGAGATAAATTGATAGATTGTTGCATGTGTTGAAGCTCTTAGAAAACAGAATTACTAGAAAGATAGTCAGATTTTCGTGGCAGTTGGTAGTAATTTACAAAAAATCTCTAGCAAATTCTAACAGCTTTTCTAAATAGGGTACAGCATGCAGAGACACCCTGGAGACTCGAAATGTCCGCATTTTTCTTGTGAGGAGAAATCAGTCATGGAAATGATTAGAGGAGATAGTTCATGGTTAAAACACATACACATGTGCACTAGCATACACACACACACACACACACACACACACACACACACACACACACACACACACCCTGGAAGAATAGGAACTCTTGAGAGAATGATTTTTCAACATTAGAACTCCAAATAAAACGTTGTCATCTTTTAGTAACAGAAGCATCATGTTGTGTTGCCCAGTCAGTGATGTTTGCATTTAAATATCCTCCCCAACCATACGAATCAGTTGCATAAACACCAGCTAAGCAGTGTTCCAAGATAAACCTCATGAGGATGATTAAGCTTTCTCAGTTTGATTGAGTTTTGTTTGATTTTTCATTTTTACTGATGTTTTGGTAGTCTGGACTCTGTCAATGATTTCAAATATTATTTATGTGGCAAATTACTTATTGATCTTCATATTTATAAAAGGAATATTTGGGGTGTATTTGCTCAGAGGCTAAGAAGTTTGGAATGAAATGTTTGAATTTGTTAGGTTTAAGTGTTTTTAGGTCTCAAGATAACATGTCATGAAGTTCATCACAGTGGGTCTGTTAGAAATTTTATTCACATGGATCTGAATCAAAATTTCAAAATATGTCCTTTATCTACAACCCAAAATTTTCTCATATAAGTTTATAGACATTTTCCTGCTATTTCCTTAGTGCAATATACCTATGTATATTAATATTCATTAATGTTTTATATGACTCATATTTCTCAAGTTCATTAGCCATGCATACCTTTATTTTATAGTCTGATAAAATCAAATTAATAATTTTAAAGCCTCTGTTTAAAAACTTTAGCATGATTTCAGTATTTGCCTTAAATTTCAGACTACTTAAGCGGTGCAAGAATACATATACAGGCTATTCCACAGGCTACCTTCTTTTCTACTTTCTTTTGCAAAATTATGTTTTAAAATTTTCCTCTTTTTTTAGTGTATGATGGGCAGTTGCCTAGTTTCAAATAGATTTTAAAGTGCTCTGGCTTCTTATCATAAGAAAGAAAGCCTGTTGGTTTTAGAAGAACACAAATCATTGGCTAAGTGTTCACTAAATTATCGTTATATGTTCATTCTGGCATGCAACTTAGGGAAAATAAGCCAAAGTGCCCTCTCTATTTTGGACTCGGTGTTCACTCTCTCAATTTATCATTGTGTGTTGATGTTGGGAGCTTCATCCTTTGAATTCTGGGCACCTTTTCAGATTCATCATGTAGTCCAAGTCTTTAGAATCATAAGCAATTGAAATACACTAACATTTAGGATTCTAGTCATCATCAAGCTATGGTGTATATTCTTTCAATGGCAGAAAAATCTATTTCATTTTCAAAAATGAAGTTTTAAATTTGTAATGGAGACAACTTCAGTCCTTTCAGATTATACAATTCCAAATTAGGACAACTATTTTTAAATAATCTGAATGAATTATTTTCTACAATAGAATTATGAAAACAAATTTTATGTTGATTTTTGTTTCAGGGAGTAGATGGCTATAGGATGTACTACTTCATGATTTATGTGTTATTTGAAATTCAAAGCCATGTCTCATTAGTAAGCATGAACTCCTTCGTTACTAATGGAGGCTTAAAATGTCTCATTTCATGTAAACTGCTAGAAGGCCTGTTTGCACAAGCGCACACTGCAAAGAGTATTTTGATAATTTCGTAAGTGATGTCCTATTTCAATCTATGTTTCTTCCCTCTAGCTAACTTCTCCCACTTACCTCTGAGCAGCTTGCTCATAAACCACCTGCTTTCTCCTTTGTTTCTCCAACTAATCAGAAAACGCCACCGGTCCCAGCTAACGTCAGCGGAGCCTCTGTGCTAGAGGAGTTTCACACTCGCAGGCTGGATGCCACAGGGGCCTCGGTGGAAGAATCAGCTACGTATTTTCACACTACTGCTCACGAGTCCCCCCTTTCTGCGTGGAGGGGCGCCTCGTCATTATTATTTCCCCCTTCCACTCAACTGCCCCGTTCTAGTTCATGTGGCTCAAATGTTGCTGCTCACACACCTGGACTGGCACCCGAAGCACAGAAGAAAATGTCAACTTCGCATGTCCTTGATCCCAGGGAAGATCTGAAAACCTCTCCTTCACCTGCCTCTGGTGCTTCTCTGAAGTCACCTTCAGCTTCCTACATACCGGTCCGCATTGTCATGCATTCACTGTCTCCAAGTCCCAAACCACTTACCTCCTCTTCCCATGGCTCCTTATCTACTGTCTGTAGCCGAATGTCATCCAGTGGAAATCTTTCAAAGTCAGGGCTCAAGTCCCCGGTACCCTCGCGGCTCTCTCTCCTCACTGCTATCCTCAAATCAAACCCTTCTCACCAAAGGCCTTTATCCCCTGCATCCTGCCCAACCTTCTCTCTCAATTCCCTGACCTCATCCACTCTCACACTTGATCAAAAAGTAAAGCAAACTTCACCCACACCTAAGAAATCTCTCTCAAGTTGCTCCTTGACAGCTGGGTCTTTAGAGCAAGGAGAACTCCAGGCTTCTGCAGAGACCCACCTACCCTGCCACCTCCCTTTCTTTCCCAAGTCTACCCCACTATCTCAGATGTACCCCCTCTCTCCACTAGCCCCCGACAGTAGCAGCTATGCTTCTATGAATATAGAGAAAATACCACGAGGCACACTGAGGAACAGTCCAACACTATCCCAATTACAGACTGACACGTTCGGTTTTGCTGATGTCCCTCCAGTCACACCGGGCTCATCCCCTCTTTCCTCTTCGGAGGGCAGACAGGATGGTAACCTCAGGAGTCCAGAAAAGAACAGGAATACTTGCACACACCCTTTCCCCTTATTATCCTCTGCATCTCCTGTTAATGAGAGCACTGCCCTTTCCTCTCTAGAGAAACGTTTCCACCCCTCCCCAGCTCTCTCAGACCTGATAGACAGATCCAAAAGAGCTTGCTCTCAACAACACTCAAGCCGGGGACTGAGCCCTTCGGTTCCTTCTGCTCCTCCTATCTCCCATGCTAGCTCTGCTTGTCATCCCAACTTAGGGCTCTCCATTCTTCCTCCTGAGAGTTCACTAACCCAGGTACTCCAGCCTAGTCCTTCAGAACTGCACCTAAGTTATGGCAATGGTACATATCCTTCAAGAACTGGACCTCCAGAAAGCATAATATCCAACCACAGCTCACTTGTTCCAACCCCATCACTTCCTGTCTCTCTAACAAGAACCAAGGAGCTGACCTCACCTTGCGCACTGTCCATGTCAACAGACCCTGAAAATAAGAAGCCCAAGGTATTTTTGCATGTTGCATGTTTATTTTGAAATATTGAAGAATCTTCTTTTCAAGGAAAAATAAATAATTATTATATTCATCGTATGACTATGACTCAAGGGAAACACACACACACACACACACACACACACACACACACACACACACACACACACACACACGAGACAAATACATTTTTTTTTTCTGGGCATGGGTTATAGCTTTGGTTCCAGTTAAAAACAGATGGCATTTTACAATATGCTACATTTCTGATAAGTTAATAAGAAGAGTCTCATTCTCTGTCAAAATACTTTGTATTGACAGTGTAGTTAGTAGACATAATTAATATCATGCATATAGCATAGATCTAGGATAATGATATAACCAATGCCAGTTTGGAAATTTTCTATTTCCCTTGCCCTTGTTTATTCATAAGGATCACTTTTCTTTCCCTCCTGCAAGGCTAATTTTTCTTCATTTCTCTCCATCCTGCAAGCAAAAATAAAACTGGATTTTACTCTTTACATTTAAGGCGAAAGGAAATAGAAATTTTCTTTATATGCAAAAGTATTTAATTTACTACCAGCACTAGGTATTTAACATTTTTCGATATGGAAAGAAGGAAGAAACCGAGCACGAAGAAACAGCAATAAGAGTGATTCTGGCTTTTCAATGTTCTGAAGCAGTCTGTTGAGCAAGGGTGTGACGTGGTACTTACTTACCATGAGAGAAGGCACGTCTGAGGAGGGACTTCGTAATTCAGTCTTGCTGGAGCATGGAGTTCTACTCTAGGCCATGCTCGCTTCCTATATATTCTATTACCCTCAGGATTGGATAGTTGTTAAGTGAGTAAAACAAATCTATGAAAACTACTACTAGCTAGTAGTACATGGGACTTTTCAATCCCATATATTTTAGTAATATAGTTTCTAGGTTTTTGAGTATCACAAAAAAAAAATGAGTTCAATTCTGTTATTACCAGATAATGAATATAAGGTTAGGGAAATAGAACAACTCACAAGATATTGTTATTGATATTGGAATGCCTTTCAGCTGAAAAAGTAGGCATTAGACACTGCATGCCTACCACTGTAGTAGCTCTTTAAGGAGTCTATGTGATAATTAAAAAATTAATAGGTAATTATTTATCTTAAAAAAACTTGTTGACATTTGAATATAAATGCATGATTGTGAAAATTGTGTACCACATACTAAAAACTGTCAATCTAATCACTTACTGAATTTGTTGACTTGGTATTTTTTAAAATTTAAGGTAGGGTCTCCCTACATAGACCATGTGGCCTTGAACTTGTGATTCCTGCTTCAGCCACCCCTCCCCCCTCAGTGCAGACAACCCTTCCCCCATGCTCTGCCACTGAGAATCATTCTCAGTGCTTTCTTGATCTTCTGGTTTGTTTTTTAATTGCTGTGATAAAACACCATAACCAAAATTAATGTGAAGAGGAAAAGGTTTATTTCACATGACAACTTAGAGTTCATCATGAAGGGAAATCAGGTAGGCAGTGTGGGGCAGAGAACAAAGAGGGATGCTGCTTACTGACTTGATCCCCATGGTTGCTCAGTTTGAGTTTTGTTTGTTTCTTTTTTCTTTTCTTTTCTTTTTCTTTCTTTCTTCCTTTCTTTTTTTTTGAGACAGGCTTTCTCTGTGTAACAGCCTTGGTTGTCCTGGAACTCATTCTATAGTTCAGGCTAGCCTTGAACTCACAGAGATCCACCTGCCTCTGCCTCCCAAGTACTAGGATTAAAGACATGTGCCACCATGCCCAGCTGCTCAGTTTGATTTTTATGCAATGTAAGACCCCCTTTCTAGAGATGGTGCCACTCACAGTAGGTGGGCCCTCCCACATCAATCATTAATAAAATAAAATGCCCTGTAGACTTGCTCATGGGCCAATGTGATGGAGGTATTTTCTCAGTTAAGAGTTCTTCCCAGATGACCTGAGCTTATGTTGAGTTGACAGAAACTAGTCAGCACACTTGCCATACACCTAAATTACTCATTATTCTTTGTGAAAAGTTTTCTCCACCATAGCACCTTGTTCAAAGTGTTACTGTTTGTGCTCCAGTGTGCTTTGCTCACATTTTATTCTATAGTGGATATAGACAGCATTTGATGAGGCCTAAAAAGCTTTTGATAAATTAAAGGCCCATATGTCAAAGACCTACTTTTCTATGGTTTTCTTTCTGCTCTCAATTTTGAAGAATTCCAGCACTAGCTTTCTTTAATTTTCCTGATTAGTAGTTTTTGAAATTGTAGTTAGATGTGCTCATTAAAATTAGTGACCATGATAATAACAAGAACTATTTACCTGTCAGTCAAAATAGTAGCCTACTCCTTTGTTTACAAAAAAAGTTTTAACATAGAAATTTATAACTTCTGCCAAGAAATGTTTCTGAGACATACTCTTACTTTTCATCTTAGTTTTTATTTCCTTCTTACTATTGCATTTCTATAGTTTGAAGTTAGAAAGTCAACTCACTTTTTATTACAAACTACCCTTCTTGGGGCTAATGTCTTCAGTATAGAAATTCATTCATGTTGACACCAGCGAAGATGAAGTGCATTCCAATTTTGGTTTTGCATCTGACTGTTTTGTTTAAATTGGTGATATTACTTCACAGAAGGCAAGGACAGCTAGAAAACAGCGTTGAGGTACCAAATAATTTATTCACTTTCACAAGGTGTGTCTTGCCTCACTCCTTCCAGGGTGGTGTCAATCCAAGAAAAGTGCTCTTTTTGAAGTTAAAAAAAAACCTTCATATTTATCGAGGCATCATGCACCAAACAGATAGGGATCCTCAAACACAGGTAGTCAACAAACTGAAACAGAAATGCTTGAAGGACATCAGTTCAAAGTCTGGGCTGTACCTACTGCCCTTTGATATTAAAATAAAGTGGAATGGCTAGACAATGCTGAGCTGAATTCAGATAGAAAACATGTTTGAAGCTCCTTTGTTATTGTCATAATTGAATTGCATTAATATGGTATAATTGACATGCTAATTTCAGATATAGTTTTTGCAACAGTCTGTTTTATGTTCATGGCCCTGGGCAGGATGAGCACCTCCCTGAGTATTGCTGAGACTGTTCTCTGACCAACTTCTATATTGTTTGAGATACTTTTTCCCCTTTGGGAAAGATGGTGGTACAACATTTACCCAAGATTGTGGTTGAGTTCCAAATATAATTGGTCGTCATTTTTATAATAGTTTGATTTTTTTCCCCTCCTAGTGAGCTTCCGTGGTATTTCACATAGAGTTGGAGAGACTATAATATCAAAATCTCATATAATCTAGTACTCACTGAAAACCGTTTTAAATTTCTTCCAAATGAGTGCTTCCAATGGTCTGGCTTCAAGCTATTTGGACTCAGCTTGTTTACAGGATCAGTCGGGAGCTTTTACTGCTTCATGAGACTTCAGAGCCAGTGTCCTATTTATTAAACTCTCATTCCTTTAAGGCATAAAAACATTTCCAATTTTGTTATATTGAAAACTTGGTGCAGCAGGCAGGATGTGACTTTCCCCATTTTTGTAGACGCAAATACAGTTTTAGAAGTGAGTGATAGGAAGCATGAGCTAAAAGGTTAATCTGGGTGAACCATTCAGTACGTATGTACTGCCCATCTAGTATGCTTTCCTAAGCGCTACACATTGCAGTAAGTTAAAAAAAATGAGAAATTACTTCCTCAGAGAAAGTTTACATTCTGTGGTGGAAGAGAAACAATCCCTTTCTCAAATTGAAAGTCAAGTATCTCCTTTGAGGGTCAGGAATGGTATGGGGAAGAATATAGCCTAGTAAGGTTACTATAGAAAGGGGCAGGGTCTCGGATATGTGTCAGATGGCTCAGTTTGTTTCCTTGAGAAGTTATGATGTAGGAGGTGTGTAATGAGGAAAATTCCTGAGGCTCAAGAGTACTTGATTGAAAAGTAGAAGGAACAGATTTAGGGCAGGTGTTGGGGTGTGTAGTGAGCAGGAGAATGCTGATGTTGTCAGAGAGAGAGAGAGAGGGATTAGAAACTAGATTCTACTCTGAGGTCTCTGATTTTTACTTTGAGGAAGATAGGCTGTTTTAGGTTTTCTTTTTATTGAATTTTTTTTGAAAATTTCATACAAGTACAACATTTACATTGTTTTCACATCTCCTGTTCCCACTCCAGCTCTTCTTCCTATGTTCTCCCTGACTCCTTGTCAAATTAATGACATCTTATTAAGTATCATATGCATGCTTGTATGTAGGTGGGTTTGGGGTTGAATACTTGGGTTTAAATACCTATCAGAGGACTTATTCCTCAAGAAAACGGATTATCCTTCTCTCAATAACCATTGATTGGCTGTAGTTCTTCATCTAGAGGTATACACTTCTGAAATTTCCCCCATCCATGCTGTCATGATGAATAGTATTTAGACAACCATATTGCTGAGAATTCATGGGAATGACTTCCTTGACAAGTCAAGAAGATACTAACAGCAGGCATCCTCATCCTTTGGCTCTTACAATCTTACCTCTCCCTCTTCATCAGTGTTCCCCGAGCTTTGAGATGTAGGGGTTTCATTGCAGGTGTAGCAATTGTGGTTGAGCACCTCATGGTCACTTATATTCTGCATTTTGACTAGTTGTAGATCTCTGTAATAGCTTCCATATGCTGCAAAAAGAACCTTCTTTGATGAGTGGTGTGAGCTGCATTTATCTGTGGGTGTGAAGATACATAGTTAGATTACATTTAGAAATTATATTGGTTTAACAAAATGGAAGTAGTAGATTCTCTTCCAGGGTCTATGACCCTAGGGTAGTGGTGAGGTTTACAGTTCCAGGCATGGTTTCTCTCTCTTGAATGAAGGCCTTGTGTCTAGTTAGTTGCTGCTGGTTACTCCCCTGATGAAAGTGCCACTATTGCACCATTGGGAATATCTCTCTTGGGAATATCACTAGTGAGATTTGTAGTCTATAAAGCTGGGTGGGACTTTCGATTGCTTTTCTCCATTGGTGGCTTCCATA